TAGTTGAGCCATCTTTCTGGAGGTGTCTTTCACTTTGATGGTGAGACTCCCCCAACAAAGTTTCCAATACCCTCTTCTGGCTTCCACAGGACACCTGCAGTCACATGGATATATACACATAAACACACATGATAAAAATTCCTAAAAACAATGGCTTCAAACTTACCTTCTTCTTGGACCCAATCTGCATCTTATCTAAAACATCTTTCCCCCTCTATTGGATGTGAGATTTATTGGTAAGTGTGACTGACAGAGTGTGTTATTTAGCATGTAGGAGGGCAAGGCCCATTGTGTGCCAGAGGACCATGGTTAGGGACATTTGTCATCAGGGATGAGCAACTTCTTGATGTAGAATTCCCCTCTGTATGATGTGAATACCATTGGTTAATAAAGAAGTTGTCTTGGTCCTATTGCAGGGCAGAATAGAGCTAAGCAGAGAAAACTAAGCTGAATGCTGGGAGAAAGTAGGCGGAGTCAGAGAGAAGCCATGTAGCTGCTGGAGGAGACAGATACACCCTGGAACCTTGCCAGTAGGCCACGACCTTGTGGTGATGCACAGATTAATAGAGATGGGTTAATTTAGGATAAAAGAGCTAGCTAGCAATATGCCTAAGTGATTGGTCAAGCAGTGTTTTAATTAATATAGTTTCTGTGGTTATTTCAGATCTGGGTGGCCGGAAAATGAACAAGCAGCCTCCGACTACAACTTTTCAGCTACCACTTCTTCAAATTCACCCGCTTTAAACTTAGTGCAGCTCGCCACCCACTTCTCTGAGATGTGGCTCTTTTGGTTTCCGGGGAACTTGGTCATGTCTCTTTACAGGGCCTCCAGCACATGTTCCTTGTTCTACTGCTTGGTATGAAAGGACACGATGGCCTTACCAGTGTGAATCTCGGCCACTGTGCCCTGGAACCTCTGAATAGCACACTGTGTAACAGTCTGAAGCATTGACATGGGAAAGTATGTCTGATTATCCGCCAGATATGTCTCCACAGATCCTCACGGATTCCCATGCAAGTATTAGGCAACATACACTACTCCCTGAGACTTGTGTGCAGCCATCACTCAGCAGACCCCCATGAGGAAAGGAACCTTGTCAGCTTAACTTGAAATACTTTTATCCAGTGAATGTAGTGGTGCATGCCTTTAATCCCAGCACTCGGGAGGGTGTGAGCGAGTTTGAGACCAGCCTTGTCTATACAGGGAGTTGAGACCATGTTTCAAAGAATAGAACAAAAATTTATCTTTATTCTTATTATAACACACACAATGATTAGACAAAAAAATAAGCAAACAGTGAATTACAGAAAGTTCAGATTGTTAAAAAACATTTTTTTTTTGCCAGCTTTGTCCCATTCGTGGTTTCTTTCACCAACCTTTGTTCTTGTTTCTCTAATCCTTTTAATTGCCTGTAAGAATATCCTTTCTAGCGACCACTCAGTGTTTTAAAGAAAAGAAAGGCGTTAGTCAGCTGTCAATCCCACAGAGTTGGGATCTTTTTATAACTGAGGGAGGCTTTCAACCGGAGTCTCTCACCTCGAGGTCTATAACTGCCTTGGTCCTCACTCTGTCCGGGCGGAATCCGTTTAGGACACAGCCTGCAGGGGTTCTCAGTTGAGGGAGGAGGTGTGGTTTCACAATGATGAGGGCAGATGGGATGGGCAGGGAGGTGCATGCTGCACTGTAATTGTACACTGGGGATCTTTCTGTTTGTAATTATGCGTATGCATGTGTGTCTGTGTGGAGCTGTGTGCAGGTGAGCCTGGACAGGCAGGAAGAGAACACTGAATGCTCTAGCGCTGGAGTTATAGGCAGTTGTGGGTGCTGGGTACTGAACTCCAATCCCATGCACAGGCAGGATATGCTCTTAACCAATGAACCATCTCTCTAGCCCATTGGGATAGCTTTTAAATAAACATTTTTGTAGCATAAATGAAGACTATAAACATAAATAAGGAATATGGTATAAATAAGGGAAAAGGAACGTGACAAAGGGGCTGGTGCTGATACACGGAGGAAGGAAGAAGGCCTCCTCTGTTGTCCCATATTGCAGAGGGGTTTAAAAGGCCTAACCGAATGTCTCCAATCCAGAAAAAAAAAGCTACGATTAACTTTTTAAAAAATTAATTAATTAATTAATTAATTAAAGATTTCTGTCTCTTCCCCACCGCCGCCTCCCCTTTCCCTCCCCCTCTCCCAATCAAGTCCCCCTCCCTTGTCAGCCCAAAGAGCAATCAGGGTTCCCTGCCCTGTGGGAAGTCCAAGGGCCACCCACCTCCATCCAGGTCTAGTAAGGTGAGCATCCAAACTGTCTAGACTCCCACAAAGCCAATAGGTGCAGTAGGATCAAAAACCCATTGCCATTGTTTGGGATCAACCTACCCATGGACCCAGCAATACCACTCTTGGGAATATACCCAAGAGAGGCCTTATCATACAACAAAAGTATATGCTCTACTATGTCCATAGCAGCATTGTTTGTAATAGCCAGAACCTGGAAACAACCTAGATGCCCTTGAATTGAAGAATGGATGAAGAAAGTATGGAATATATACATATTAGAGTACGATTAACTTTTAAACTTTCTCTGGATTTTGCTCTTTAAGGCACAACAGCAGGAAAGAGTATGTGTCACATTTAACTTTCAGAAACTTTCTGTGAGGTGAAGAACTAATACACAAACCGTGACTTCGATCAGCGAGCGTGCATCTATACATACAGGCTAGCTCCCTGACAGGTGGAACACACAGTCAGAATCATAAATCACAATGGAACCAGGCGATGGCTGTCCAAAAGGGCACTTTGAAAGAATGCATACTTAAATTGGATCCTAAAACTCATAGGTTTGAATTTATTACCCATTCATCAAGAAATATTATAGTTATATATAAGATAGCATTACAGAAATGGAATTTGATGACAGCAAATCGGTTGGTCTTTTAAAAATGATGACCAGAGTTACGTTACTCCACGGAGCTCAGTCTTTGCTCTAAATTCAGCATGTCACTGAAGCATTTAAATCTGGCTGCAAATGGATTTATACATAATTTCTTTGAATAAATACCAACATTCTCTGAAATATAAAGGAAGATTTAACAAAGAAAATCCAAGAAAGAAAAAGATCTGGGTATAATGCAGTTTAATCACTGGATACTCTATCGCGGCTGTTTAAGTCTGGGTTTCTATTATTGACAGAACAAACGCACAAGCTGGGTGTGGTAGTTTCAGCCTGCGATCCCAGGATGTAGGAGGATGGCACAAAAGGATCGGGAATTGAAGGGCAATTTGGGTCACATATTGAGTTTGAGACCAGGCTGGGCTATATGAGATCTGGCTCAACAAAGAAAACAAACTAAAAAACAAACATAAAACAGGATATAAGACCATAAAGCCTTAATTTCCTGTGATTTAATGTCAAACCCTCCCTAAATATCAAAATACTTGTACAGATTCACCGAATACTTTAAACTTTTATCTGGAGTTCATCGATGCTATTATTCTTAGGGATGAAATTAGTTATAGGAAATTATGAGACACCAATACCTTATTAAAAGATATAAGTGTAATATTTGAATATGTCTGGAGAACTGGTGAGGTTCCACAGTGGGTAAAAGTGCATGTTGCCAAGCTTGACGACCTGACTTTGATCCCTGGAACCCGTGAACATCGTACTCAACACACACAGTCACACACACACACACACACACACACACACACACACAATCACACACATATGAGAGAGAGAGAGAGGATAAATAAACGTAAATAAAATCGAAAAAAATACACACGGATTTAGATGCATTCTATATAAAAATTTCCTACCAAAATAACTTTCCATACACCTGTCTTTACATATTTAGCTGTTAACAAAATGGATTTTTTTTTTAAGCATGTGACTTTTTCCTCCACTTTCAGTGGACTGACCCCTTCGGTACCTCCGTTTGCTTACATCTAAAAATGGAGATAACATTGTAGTTACCTCATAGGAATGGTGAGAGAGAGTCAAATGAGATCATCTAAGAAGAAAAACCGTGCCTAGCTCATAATGAGTCTCAGTGGCTATTACTGTGGTCGACTGACAGTCGAAATTTGAGGCCTTGACATACATTGCTTAATCTATATTTTGGTATTGTTTTCTACTTGCACTTTGCTTGGTACACAGTGTAACCATCAAATTCTCACCAGGTTTAGATTCATGCTTAAGTAAACAATCACATATTTTGATTAAAAATGTTTAGTATCTTTATGATGAGAGAGAAGAAAAAGTCAAAGTCCTTTGGACCAACATATTGTTTTCTTCCTGCCATTTTTTTCCACTTCTGAGAGGGAAGGGCTCACTCTGGAGGCCTGGCAGGAGGAATTCTACATGAAAAAACGAAGACGCCAGGGCAGGCAGCACCAAGCCCAAGAGTGCAGAAGACCCAGAGTCAACTTCCGTAAGAAACAAACCACAGAAGTCTGGATTCCAAAATAGACAAGCTGGGCTCCTTGCAGGACCAAATGACCATTATCTTCCTAAAATTAGTCCAAGAATGTTTTGTAAGACAGACTTAAATAAACTGACCCGTTGGCCACTCTCAGCTCACTTCTGTTTTGCTTCTGAATACGTCAAGTTTGGCCAGCCTTCCTGGCTTACATTTTCATGTTTATCCTTAAACACAGCAACCACGCAAACTCTGAGTGGAACGCCTCTGTTTAAGAGTAGCATGCTGAATTTGTCTACTAACTGCTCTGCAAACTGAGTTTTGTGTATATTGTATTTTTTCTACTTTTCCAGATTTTCTGCATGTATAAAATTCTGGTCTTCTTCTACACCAGCTTCCAACTATGTTTCTTGTGATTTTAACTCACTTAAAGGATGCGTATCATGTTAAATGTTGGTAAGTATATAAAGAATATCAAAGTAATAGTACAAAGCAATTAAGAACAGTGAATGTAAACAGAACTCTTCTTTATTCATACCAGTAACAAACTGGCAAAATGTAGATTTTTTTTGGGCAAAATAATGACAGCTGTTTGATCCAAAGATGTTTTACAATGAAAAAACAGTGCTAATATTTACAAGAAGCAACATTTAAATGGCAGGTTTTAAATAACATATACACAGACACCCCCCACGCACACAGGTAGCCGGACTCAGGGCCTGTAATCATAGAAAAGACAGAGGTAAAAGTATCTCAAAGGTTTGAGGCCAGTCTGGTCTCCACTTTGAGGCCTTGTTTCCAAACTTACAGGTTTGTCATCTCACAATCAAGGTGCTTTAATCTTGAGAGGGCCATTTTCCATAGGCTACAAACAGGAGGTGTTTCCCCCCCCCCCCCCTCTCCCTAGGCAAGGGTAAAGTATTCTCTGTGTCTTTGACCAACTCTGGATTTTGCGTTTGGAAAGCTGCTATCCATCTGCATTATTCCCACTTTATAAACAGAAGTCACAGACTAAATGTTGGGCTGAGAGGGAAGTCCTGGATCTTTGCCCAACTTCACTGGGGGTAGGGTGGGGGCTCAACCAGGATACTATTTCCTCCTTCGTGACTTAGTAAAGGTACTTTCCAATCTCCAGGAAGGTGACCGAACAATGTCGAGTGCCACTTTTCTCTCCCTTAGCCCCACGGTGGGTCCCGAACGCCCGCTTCCCGTGGCTCAGCTCCCGGGTGCACGGGGAACCCACAGCCGCGGCCGCGTGACCCGACCACAAACGCGCGGCACCGCACGTGTCCGCGCGGCCCCGGGGCTCGCGCCGCCGCTCGCCAAGTCGCCCAGGACGGGCGGCGATCGGGGCCCTCGCCATGCTGTTCCGCTTCGGCGTGGTGGTGCCGCCCTCGGTGGCCGGCGCGCGGCTCGAGCTGCTGCTCGTCGGGTCGCGGCCCGAGCTGGGGCGCTGGGAGCCGCGCGGAGCCGTGCGTCTCAGGCCCGCGGGCACCGCCGCGCTGGCGCTGCAGGAGCCCGGCCTGTGGCTCGCCGAGGTGGAGCTGGCGCCCGACAACGAGGCGGCTGCGGCGGCCGGCGAGGACACGGGCCGCGTCGACACGTTCTGGTACAAGTTCCTGCAGCGCGAGCCCGGAGGCGAGCTGCGCTGGGAAGGTACTGCCCACCCGGGCCTCGGGGCGCGCACCCCGCGGCTCCCCCGTGCACCCCGCCGCAGACTCGGGCCCCGTAATCCTCAGCTCCCCCGTGCAGCGCGGCCGCCGTCTCAGGCGCGCACCCCGCAGCTCGCGCGCTCCCGAGCACACCCCACAGTAGGTCACCGCTCGCCCCCCTAGACCTGCCCACTTACTTGACCCCACCTCGCTGCACCCGTTCCTGCTCTAGGCCTGACTGAGCCTAGGCTTGTTGCATCTCGGTGTGTTTTATCCTTTCCGTGAAAAAATACTGTGCACCTGTCACTGTGCGTTCAGGTTCTTTTTACTTTTAGAGATTTTTGGACTGGAGTCCCAGTGCAGAGTTTTCTTCCCAGCATTTGGGAGTATTTCTCTACAACAGATTCAGAGAAGCCAATGTGTGGCCACTTAACATTTCAGTAAGGAATGCCCTGAAGAAGCGGTACCCGCGTGTTTACCCATGACACAGGGTGAACTGACAGTCTTTTCTTTCTTTGAAGGAAATGACCAGGGTGGAAAATTGAGATTATATATGCGTGGTGGTTTGAAAGAAAATGGTCCCCAAAAGGAGCGACAATATTAGAAGGTGTGGCCTTGGTGGAGGAAGTATGCCACAGTGGAGGTGGGCTTTGAGAGCTTGTCTATGCTCAGGCCATGCCCAGTGTCTCAGACCACTTCCTGTTACTTGCCTATCAAGGTGTAGAACTCTTAAGTTCTGGATCCCGTCTGCCTGCGCACCACCACGTGGCACCGTGATGCTGATGGACTAGACCTCTGAAAATGCCACCCCAATTGCATTAAAGAATTACTGTGGTCATGTTTCTTCATATCAATAGAAACCCTAACTGAGACACCGTGGTTCAGTGGTTGTTTAAATGCCATGGAAGGAATGCTTCTTGAGACGTTCATAAGGGCAGAAAAACAGGCCATTAGCCAGGAAAGCCAAGAATCCAGAAATTAAACAAAACAAACAACAGCAACAACAGCAGAAGAATATGGTTTACTGGCGTATGTTTATTACTTTTGCTGTTCCTTCTGGCCACTCCTGGGTTTGATGGTCAGCTAGCATTACTGTCTTTCACTATCCCAGAAGCTAGAGGTGCTGGCCTCTTTTTGTCCTTTCTTTGACGTGCTTTTCTGCCAATATTACTATGGACTTTTCCACCATAAAATAACTTCTCATCATTTTAAAAACAGTGTAAGGTATACTAGATTTTTCCATTTTCAGGTTCTCTCCTTTATTACCTTTTCTGACATCACCTAAGATGCCCAATAATTTGCTTCATTGCTGTTTCTTAGAGCACTCTCTTTAGCTAGCGTGCTTTCAGTTATTCTGAGGGTTACCACATACATTATTATTAAGTTGTAAAGATTAGTATCTATTGATACCTGATATAAATGCATAAAATTAACAGCTGCACTTGCTATAAAATATGAAGAATTTAGTCCATGCTCTTTCTTCCCTACTGATTTTATAGCCTTATTTTAAATTATAGAAGTGATGTTGACTTTTATTTTACAGAGGGTTCATTATTACCCTATTAAAAATTGCTCTTTAAACAATTTCTAAAAATAATGCACACCCCCCCTCCTTTCCCTTGCCCTGTCTTTGTTTCTACATTAACCTTCATGTGTTCATGTTCTGTTCTTTCCCTGTTAGCAGTGCCCTCATGTGGACGGGTTGGTTGGTGCTAAGACGTAGAAATTAACGAGAAGATTTGCCATGCCCCGTGTTTAAGAGCAAGGATCGTTGGACTGTCACTGCCTTACCCAGGAATATGGTTTTGTTAGACTAGCACAGATTGATGTCAAGTGATGCACATATTAAGTGTTTGGTAGGATCGAAGGCTCTCTCTTGCTCACTGTGTGTGCACGCATTAAGTGTTTGGTAGGATCGAAGGCTCTCTCTCGCTCACTGTGTGTGCACGTATTAAGTGGTAGGGTCGAAGGCTCACACTCACTGTGTGTGCATGTATTAAGTGTTTGGTAGGATCGAAGGCTCTCTCTCGCTCACTGTGTGTGCACGCATTAAGTGTTTGGTAGGATCGAAGGCTCTCTCTTGCTCACTGTGTGTGCATGTATTGTTTGGTAGGGTTGAAGGCTCTCGCTTCCTGTGTGTAGCCCAGGCTAGGCTGCAGCTGGTGGCAATCACTCTATCCTCAGCCTCCAGGGTGCTGGGATAACGGGAGTAAACCATCCTTCTTAATTTTATGATTGTCACTATAAACCAAGTGGTGCCAGGATGGTGGCACAGGCCTTTGCTCCCATCACTCAGGAGACAGAAGCAGGTGCATCGTTGAATTTAGAAGTCAGACTGGTGTATGAAGTGAGTTCCAAGACAGCCAGAGGTATATAATAGAGAGACCCTGTCTCAAAAACACCAAAATAAATATTAAAAAAAAATAAAATGAGTTCTCAGAGGCAGAGACTATCCCTGCATGGGTAAAGTTCCTTTCCTTCACAATAATGCCCACCTTGCTCAAATTTTGCTTAAAATGGTTTCAGAATTTGTTTTACTGTATTTTCATATTGAAAATTTCTTCTACAACTTAATTTCAAATTTTTTCTTTTTTAACTATTTTAACAGTAGAATCACACTAGCCCTCAAGATTTCTTGCTTACTCACAGGATTTAATGATTGAAATTTTGCTTATTTCGTGAAAACACCTTTTCTTGCACATCTGGGATTCCTGTTGCATTTACCACTAATAGGAAGCTCCCCCAGCGCCCGTGGGAAACTTTAACAACAAGCACCTATGTTTGCTGTCTTGCTTTGGATCCCACATTGTCTTTCTTGAGCAACTTAATCATTGTTTGTTGTGTTCTCTAATATGGGACACCCAATGTCTGAGCCCCCAAGTCCAGGTTGGTCATTTGGTAGAGCATTCTGATCTCAAAGTCCTTTGCTCTTTGCCGTCTTTGTCTCAAGACCTTTGAGCATCAGCATTGGCGGAATATTCTAATATCAAACTCAGTCTATTTTTTTTCCTTTGATGGAGGTGATCCATTTTGTTTTCCTTTGAAACTTTAATTTTTAAAATAAATTGTGTCAGGATGTGTCTCACTATGTTTAGTGTTGCTTGACATTTGATTGCTTCCTTTAATACCAAGAATTATTTTTTCAATTCATGTAAATATTTCTTTGACTGTTTTCTTACCTATATTCTTGTCTTTTTTTCCATTTGAAATGTGATAGCCACATATCTTCTGCTTATGCACCAAGCATCTCTAAAACCTTTTTCCTCTCATTTATTTCTTGTGTTTCTGACCTTACCACTTGATCTTCCAAAATCATCCATTTCATAATTTTGTCAGTGTACTAAAATTTTCACTTTTGGTGGTCATTATTTTCCATTTTTTATTGTATGTGGATATGTGTTTTGCTGGCATTTATTTCTCTGTACCATGTGCTTGCAGTGCCTTCCAGGCCAGAAGAGGGCAGTACAGATGGTTGTGAGTCATCATGTGGGTGGTGGGAATTGAACCCTCATCCTCTGGAAGAGCAGCAGTGGCATCTTAACCACTGAGCCCGCTCCCTGACTCCAACAGTCACATTTTATTTTGTTCTCTTCCGATGTCATCCCCCCCCCCAACCCCCAGAGCTGGTTGTTGTTAATGTATTATGATTCAAAGGATGTTGAATAGAGTTGATTGAAGTTGGTTTTGTCTTTCATTAGTTTAACCAATTTGTCAGCAATTGTTCCCCCCCCCCCGCCCCCATGGCTTCATTCATGCTGTACATTTTCCACACATGTTGGGTAACCTTTGGATAGCTGCCCCCTGGACAGAGGATATGTAGGTAGCTCTGCTGCTGAGCTTGGTTCTGTTTATCCAAACCCTCCTCTGAACAGGTGGGGGGTGGGCAGCAACGCTGGTCCAAAGCCAGAGCTTAGGGTTGCCGGCGACAGTAAGAGACTTGAGAGAATTTTGTCAAAAGCCTCTGGTTCACTGACTATTGGGTCATGTTACTAATATTTCCTGAAACAATCTAAAAGACAGTGAACAATTATTATACAATTATTATTATGAGAAGGATAGAGATCAGTGAGCCGAGGAGAGGTAAGGATCAGGGCCCCAGAGGAGACATACTGGGAATCTGCATTGAAATTGGCCCATGGAGGTCCAGGTTTATAAAAGCCAGTGCCGGGTTCTCCAGCAGATAGGGCTGAGGCAGAGCTGGTCCCGCTAATTTCTCCCTGGGGCTGAGTGGGATGGTGAGTGTCAACCACCCAGACCTCCCCCTGGCCACCAAGAAGAAATGCATACACTGAGCCTAGAGTCTGTAGAAGCAGGATCTCACTTTATTACATCAGGGCAGAAACTTATATAGGGCTGAGGTAGTGGGTGGAAGTCTTGGGATGGGGTGAGGTAGAGTAAGGCATAAGGGCCAATAATATCCTGCCACATCAGCAGTGGCTGGGCAGAGGTGGGCCTAGGTCAGGTTGTGCTAAGTCACTCCTCTTCAAACTCAAGTTAGGCCCAGTAAGTTACACTGGGCCTCACTAAACTCAAG